TAGTCACTTGGCATGCCTTTTTAAAAATTTCAGTAGGTTCTTCTGTGTTTTTCTTTCATTGTCATCTTTGATGTCATCACTTGGTGAGAACATCCAAGGGCCACAATACTTTAGACCTGAAAGGGACCCTGAATCCATTTAGGCCAACCATCACTGATACAGGGGGAAGATGAAGCTTCTGTAGATTTGAACCAGGTCACGGGCAAATTAGTTAGAAGTACAAGGATTGAATCCTGGATCCTTGCTTCTCATTCTAGTGGTTTCCTCAGTGATTTGGTTTTGTTGTTTGGCATGCTCTCTGGCGTTGCAGGGAAAACCATGGAGAATTTGACTGAAGTTGGAAATGATCACTGAAGGCATTTGCATAGTTCCTTGTATTTATAAGGTACTTTCAGCCACACTAGCTTGTGGTTGAAATGAGTAGCTGAGGAAATCTGACACGATGGTTATGTATTCCTTCTAGTTTTTTGATGTCCTCCTCTATTAAAAAGGAGTTATAATGTTCTTACGCAAGGAATTGTTGTAAAGAGATGGCTAGAACTTCAGTCATTTGGATTTGTGTCTGACACATATTCATTGTTTGCTATTTTTATTATTGTTGCTATTATTTGTCGTTGTTTGGTTCTACTTCGCAGACATCGTGGACTAAGGGGGAAAATTCCACTGTCCGGCTGTTTTGTGGGAGGGGGAACGGAGGTGCAGATAATTCAGCACTTGGAGAGCTCCTTGTGAGCGCTGAGGAATCCGCCTCGGACCTCGAGTTTACTGAAAAAGAGGGTCGTGTCATTTTGGCATATTTTCTCACTTAATATTGGTCAACAACTAGAAACTGAAATCTTGAAAAGAGGTCATTTTTCAACCACGGCTCTCTCTCTGTCATTCTAGGCTTTCTTTGCTTTGGGATGCTTTTTCTTTTTTTAAGAGCAAAGTATTTGCTACCTTTAACTTTCTAAGGAAATGGGATTTCTCATGGAAGAACAATTTCTAAACAAAGGGGTACTTTATAAATATATTGTACTGAAATAACCATCATAGTGAGCTTCCAGTGAAACAAAATTTGAATTACCTAATTTTAACATGGGGGGGGGAAGTCTGGAACGCTGTGGTTTGTTTTATAGAAAGGAAACCACTTCTAATTTTTCCACTGTGTTAAAACAAACAAGAGAAATGAAGCTTCTAAAAGCAGACCAACCCCAAAAGTACATTTGTATTCAGATGTGTTGCAACTCCGGCCCTTCCCCTTCCCACACTGCCCTTCCTTTTTCCTTCCTGCTGCCACTTACCCTACATCCTGTAAAGGAGTAGTGGAAATATCCAGGGTTGGTCTTTGTCCAGTTGACTAGAAAGTGATAGTCATAGAGGCAGATCTGAGAAAAGGCACATAGCAGTGGTTGCATCTTTCTGGAATCACAGACCTCACGGACACCGACGATCAAAGCCAAGAAAATACACAGATGCAGATGTATGCAGAATCTCATGCACAGTTTCAGGAAGCAGTGGACTCCCTCCCTCCCATTTGGGGTTGTAACTATACACCTGCCACGTGAGAGCTGACAGCATCCCTGACCTTCCTCCCTGCCAGGCTCTCTTTTGAGAGCTAAGGAAGAAGAATGGATTTCAATGTAGTGCTTGGGGGTGTGGATCCAGTCTGGAGCTTATTGAAAGCTGATTCTGTGTATGTTTTTTGGGCTTAACTCATTTGCTCCACTTATAGAATATCCTTTCTGTGTGAAGATACCTTATTTAAACGCAGATTTTAAGAGAGTTTGGGGTGTTGTAGAAATCTGAATCCTGTCGAGAGACCAAGCAGCACTCGGAGGGTTGGAGAACTCAGGTTTATTATGCCAGCGTGCCCAGAGGAGTTAACACTCCAAGCTCTGGACCCTGTCTGTAGGTTTACACAGGCTTTTATAGGGTGTTAGTTTTCAATTAAATTTGCACCATATGCAAATGAGGTGTTAGAAATGGACCAATCAGGAGTGAGCTTTTGGGAGCCAATGGTATTTCAGGGGTAAGTTTTGTTTCCCTAGAAGCAAGCTGTTTTACGGAAGCGCAAAAGCTGGAAGGCAATGGCCCTGCCTGAGAAGTCTTGCTGGTCTCTTTGTGGGTTTTGCCCCTTCAGGGGGAGGCACCCTTTGAAGAAAAATTAGACTCAAAAAAGTAAAGAAAAAAGTGAAAAAAGGGCAGGAGAAAGGGAAAAAAGGATGAGGTGGGACATGCTTGCTGGTGGATTATGTGGTTTGATTTGACTTTTTTCCCCTACACTTTGTACTTTGAAATATAGCATTTTACAGTTACATCTACATTTAGAGAATGCAGGTGAAAAGGACTTGCTTTAGGTTTTCTTGGGGTTTGTTGACAGCTTCCTCTTGCTTGCCTTTCATTGTCTTTATTAAAAACCAGCCAATCACATGTCTTTTGTGGATATATAGAGCTCCCACTTTGCACAAGAGTGAGCTGTGGCAGATGTCAGGTCCACACAAGTTCTTGCCCCTCTAGAAGTGACATCCTTGTAACCTAGTTTGGGTCCAAAGGTCATAGGCAGGTGAGAAAATTATTGATTGCATATGGATGGGCTCTGGTCTGACCACTGCTTAATTACTTTGTTACCTTGGATAAGTTACTTAACCTCACATACCCTTAGAATCCGTTTTTAAAGTGGTGAGATATTTTGTGGGTGGAAGATATTGTACCTATCAAATTACATTAAGTAGGCAAATAAGCTCTTATTTTGTTTAATATCATCCCTGTGACCAGTGTAATTGTATAGTTGCCAGAATGCCTGGGTCATTTGGAATCAGATGGGGGAGTAACCCTTATAGCTAACTGTGCTGGTTCTGTTCCATATATTATCTCATTTTATTCCTCACGACTTCCTGTGAGGTAGATATCACTGTTATCCCCTCTTTTAAAAGTGAGAAAAATAGATGTGCAAAGAGGTTAAAAAACTTACCAAGACCTTCCAGAGCTGAAGGACTGAAACCCGAGTGGTCTGGCTCCAGAAGCCACGTTCTTAGCTTCAATCCTTTCCAGCCTTCATTTTTTTTTTTTTTGAGCTGGAGCCTATTCACCTTAAAAGGAAAATATATGTGGTGGACTCTGATCCTTATTTAAGATTTTTTTTTTCTTTCCTGTTCCAGGTATCTGACAGCAAGCAGCAACAGAAATTTCCTGCTTACTATGAGGCCGTTCTTAAAAAGGGCCGTCTTGGTCATAAGTTATGTAAGTATACACACACACACACACACACATACATATACATATATATATATGCTTTTTGAAATACTTGATTAGATAACTTTAATTTGACTCAGAGACATGATCCGGATTATTTAATAGAATCAGCAGTAGATTCTTACATGATCTTAAGATCGAAGAGTTTGTATGCCATAAACATTACGAAGCCTTGGAAGATGTGTGTAAAAGCATTCCAGGGCTATGTGAACTCTATGACGCCCACATGAACTGTAACATTTTATGAGTCCCTTTCAAGGTGCTGGTGCTGAATTATCTCCGCAGCGCAAACCTGGCTGTGTCATTTATCTATGGCTGCCTATCCAACCACCCCAAAGTGTAGTGGCTTGAAACAGTAACACCATACAGCAGCCCTAAATGCTTTAGTGTGGGCGACATCCCGCTGGCTGGTTCTTCTGCGCCTCGTGACTTCTGACCAGGGTTATTCAAGCAGGATCATACAGCTGTCAGCTGGGCTGGGTCACCTCTCTGGGATCACCCATCCTCTGGGGCCTCTCCCCCGTGGCTGTCCTCTCTAGTGGGATAGGCAGGACCTCTTTACAGCATGACAGCTGGATTCTAAAACAAACCAAAGGTTGCAGGACCTCTCAAGGGTTGGGCCCAGAACTGACACAGTGTGTCTCCTACATTCTGTTGGTCAATACAAGTCACAAGACCAACTCAGATCTAAGAGGCAGGGTGGTTGACTCCATTCTGGATAGGAAGAGCAGAAGCCACGTGCAGAGAGGGTCAGAATTCTTGGCCACATTTGATGACTTTCACATTAGTCATCCTCTTATACTGTTGAATGTTTCTATTCAAGGAGATTAGAAGACCAGCCTCTTATGCTGTTGCGTTCCTTCTAAATTCCCTGTCGAAATTTATAGTCAGTTTTGATAGGAAACTTATGAAAATGTTTTTGAGCTACAATTAATGTGATTTTTTTCTCAACCCTAAAACATGTTTATGCAAGAAGAGGAGTGTTCAAAGCTTGAACGAGGTGGGGAGCTTTGGCTGGACCATTTCAGCAGAAGGCGCAAAAGATTTCTCTAAAGTATGCCCTGGTGTCTTTGCAGAAAACTAGGAAGATTCAACACTTGTTTCAGAAGTGGTTTATTTTCTTAGTGTTTGGGAATGCAGGGACTTGCCATTATTTCTGTGATGCCCTATGCTTGCTGGTAGAGGGCAGTTCATTTCTTTAGGCGGCTAAGGAAGAGGTAAACGCTTTTCCTGAATCCCTTGGGTCTTAACTGCCTTCAGCTCAAAACGACGTACAAGCCAAAGTGGTGTATTTGGGGTGGCTTGTTTAGGGAATTTATATTCTGTCAGGATACCTTTTCTGCCACTGCTGTAGTTGACATTTCCATTGTAATATCCTTAAGAGTTTAAATTTACTTTGTGTGTGTTCTTTTTAAGACGATTTTTGATTACTGCCTAGGCGTTATTTGCAACAGGATAGCACTGAATGGTGATGAAATTCGACCGAGTGACACAAAAGATGTTCCTGGGGGCTGTTGAGATAACCCTTCATGAGTGGTCTGCTTCAGAGCATTCAGGGGTTAGAGCATTTCCAGATGTATTTGTTCAGCACACAGAAATGTCATCTGTCATAGTTTACGCTAGCTTTCACGGGGCTGTGGGAGTGGAATGGTGAAGAAATGCAGCGTTGGAGACCACTGACATGGATTCAACTCCTGGGTCTTACAATTTACCAGCTGTGAGATTCTGGGCACATTGCCTCTAAGCTCCAGCTTCGTCACCTACCTCTAGGGTTGGGAGACCTCAGATGGATGGAAAGCCTTTGGTGGATAAGAGTTGATAACAGCTAGTAAGTGCCTGAAACTGACAGCTGTTATTAAGAATGTGTTTGCCTTTCCTTCATCACTTGCATTGTTTACTCATCCCTCTATTGAACGAATTCCATCTTATCTACAAAATTTTCAGCGGCAGGATTTTATAGAAATGGCTCACTAGAAGAATATTTGTAGAGCAAAACATTTGTGAAGCGTCAGAACGTATCCTCCGGAAAGGTGGGGCGCTTACCCTCAATAAGCAACGGTTTTCTTATCAAATCTTTCTTCTTTTCTCAAGGTGGTGGTGGTTTTGTACTTCCGTCTGTGGATCATGGGAGGGTCTATGCCCCTCTTTTCAGAGCAGGATAATCCAGCCTCATTTTCGCCTTACATTCTTACAAGGTCAGTAGAAATGAATTTTTTCTTAACCTTACCTGGCATTCATTAGATAGTTTTCGATAATCTTAAATGATATGTTGGCTTTGCATTTTAAGGAAAGATTGTATTCTGCTCAAGGTGTGTGGAGAAAAGAAAGTCCTGTTTAGACATTTGGAATTCTTTTCAACAAGTGATGCTGTTTTGTCAGCATTATGGCTGTTGTTCTCACTTTGGTATATATTTGTTTATGTGACAAGCATTTAATAAGCACTTATCAGTAATAAATTATAGAGTGGCCCATTTGGCAAGTGTTTCAGAACACTGAGAGGCGTTTAGAGAACATCAAAACTATTTGTAAGATTAAAAGCAGTGGGGCAGTTGAAAGTGGCAAACAGAAATGAACAACAATTTTTGCTAAGATGTTGTGGTCAATTATATCTTACCATTTGTCCTTAAGAGATTGAGAGATCAGATCGTGGATCAAGAAGTGTTTTGACAAATGGATCTTGTCCATTGAGAAGGGTTTTAATTCTTAATTTATTCAAATCTGCTGTGATGTACTTCTGAGGCTTTCAGATATAGTTGACAATTTTTGTAACTTTTCATCAAGGTATGTTATTGCTGTAATGTTTACACACTAAGGTGCGCTGTTCTTAAATTTTCATAGATTTATATACTTTTTAATATCTAACATCATTTTTGTAATAGAAACCTCCATGTTTTTGTGTTTGCAAAGACGTAATAAATCTTGAACCTTGACCTATAGCGTGTTTATATTTTGGCTTACTTGTATCTCAGGGACAAGAGATTGTTGGATTTTGTTTTCATAAGCCAGGCAGTGATCTTTTCTTTCATTCATTTATCTTATGTTTCATTCGATAAGTTTCTATTGTCTTTGCACTCTTTGTTTTTCTATTTTGTTCCTAGTCTTTTTTTTTTCCTTTTTAAAGACTTTCCCATTCAAAAGGATACCTTCCAATTTGATTGACCCATTTTTATAATTAGTATTATGTCACAGTTGTTTTCATTACTTGCAATATATATTTGTATTAAAAAGTCTTGAGTACGCCTTCAGAAATCATACGGTACAGCATCTAATGAGGGCTTATCCCTCTGAGGTAGTCTGGAGCCTTGTTATTTATGTCATATATTTTTCAAAACGTTGTTTAATTAGTCCATTAACTCAGCTTGACGCCTCTAGCTCAGTTTTTTGTTATTACTGGAATCTACTTGTATCTCTCACTTGTTCCTTCTTTCTCTCACTGGTTTTCAACATCTCCAGGGCTCCTTGTCTGGGTATTTTTAGCTCATTGATAAATTGTCTCAGGTTCTGTAGCTCCTTAAATAGCTGTTTTCTGCCTTTAAGAGAAAAAGCTTTGCCAGATCCTGTTCTTGCTTAATGGCTCCGTTTCCTTTAGCCTTTGGTTGGTTTCCCTCCAAGGTTTCTTGTCTGCTGAGCACCCCTTCTTATCTTCATGATTAGATACAGTCTGTTCCCTGAGCTTCCCAATCTCCAAAAGCCAAGCTGCACAGTCAAAGGAGACAGACGGACGAGAATAAAAACAGGTTGCTCTCTGCCCACCAACCAGTCATTTCACTCGTAGCTCTGTCATCAGCAAACACGAGCCTGCTCCACGGTCCTCGGTGTCAGGACAAGATGCCTTTGGCCTCTGGCTCACTGCCTTCCTGTCCACACCCTCTTAGCTTCCAGCAGGGTTAGGTTGCATTTTTATCCCTGCTGGTGGCCAAAAAATTTCTTTGGTGGAACCTCTGGCAAAATTAGGACCTTGGGCCAGTCATTTGCCAGGTTCTGCCTTTCATTTCCAAGCATTTATATACTTTTTCTGAGGGGACTGACACACATGTCATCCAGGACTTTCTGTCTGTGAATCCATCTGCGTGACTGTCCTCAGCCAATTCAATCAATATTAAGTGATAGAGCAGAACATCGTAACTCCTTTATGTTCTTCCTCTTAAAAAAAAAAACACCATGTATCTTTCTGTTCTTGTGTTTCATATTTAAAACACACAGATGCCCTGGGACATTTCAGTGACAGTTGCCATAAATGGCTTTTCACACATTCCTCTAAGATAGCTGCTGTATCATTGACTCTTCTTGTGCATCCAGAAAATTGTCTTTAATTCCTTTCCTGAATAACTTCACTACTCTGCTTGCATAATTGTTTGACCTCTGGTATGATGATTCGTAAACTGAATTGCCTTAGTCTGTTTCCAGTTCTGTTGGTTTTTCTTTCCGTCTCATCAGCAGTGCAATTTAGCTATGATTGGGCTGGCTCTGTGAGTCTGTCTTTATTAATCACAAGTTTGTCATTCAGCATTGTTACCGAGTCCGAACTTGTTCTGCTCGCCACACGACAGGCCAATAAATTGGGAGATGAGATGTTGGGGCAAGGATTAATGACTTTATTCAGAAAGCCAGCAGACCAAGAAGATGGCAGACTCATGTCCTGGAAAACTGTCTTCCTTTCTTCAGAATTCAGGCTCATTTTATATTAAAAAGGGGACGGGGTGTGGTTGGTTGTTGCAAACTTCTTGTTGGAATCCTTTGTTCTTGCAGCTGTCCACATGGGTCAAGTCATGATTTCCTATAAACCTCCAATAAGACAAATTTTATTCTGTGTTCTGCAACTTTTTATCTCTGTATGAATGGAAAAGTGTCATACCCTTAAAGGTCAGAGCCTTGAGAATAGGCTGTCCTGTATATTTCAGGCTCTAGGCAACTTTCTTTTACAAAATGTATGGAACCAGCATGACTAAGGCCAGGAAACAGAGCACAGGGTAAGAGTCAAAGGAACAGAGCTAATATGGAGTCAGATTTGTCCTTCCCTGTTATACTATGTTGATCTGTCTCTTTAATGCTTCACCCCCTTTCCTGGATTTGTAAAACTCTGAACAACCTTCTTCAGAGTCTTTGCTTCTATCTCGCAAGGATTATCTTCTTTTTAAAGTAGATACAATAACTTTATTATCAGATGAGAGTTTTCAAATTAGTTTTCCTTTAATGATTGCTGTAGTCATTAATTACATGTAGTTTTAAAAACATTCTAATAACTTATAAGAGTCACTCGGTTTTTTGCTTTGTTTAAATGACTTCTTGTGAAAGTTCTCATTTGAACTGTATTCATTGCAATTTAGTGAAAAATAAGAAAGACATACAATAAGGTGGCCAATAAGCACATGAAAAGATGCTAAACATTGCTAATTATTAGAGAAATTCAAATCAAAACTACCGTGAGGAATCACCTCACACTGGTCAGAATGCCCATCACTAAAAAGTCTACAAGTAATAAATGCTGGAGAGGGCATGGAGCAACACTGCTTCTACACTGCTGGTGGGAATGTAAATTGGTGCAGCCACTGTGGAAAACAGTATGAAGGTTTCTTAGGAAACTAAAAATAGAGTTACCACTGTGTGATCCAGCAGTCCCACTCCTGGGCATATATCTGGAGAAAACTTTAATTCAAAAAGATACAGTCACCCCAGTGTTCATAGCATCACTATGTAAAATAGCAAAGCATGGAAGCAATGTCTGTTGACAGATAAATGGATAAAGAAGTTGGGGTACACACCACATGCACGTGCACACACACACACACACACAGGATGGAATCCTACTCAGCCAATAAAAAAATGAAATTATGCCATTTGCAGCAACGTGGATGGACCTGGAGATTATCATACTGAGTGAAGTAAGTCAAAGACAAATACCACATGATATGGCTTATATGTGGAATCTAAAATACGATACAAATTAACTTATTTACCAAACAGAAACAGATTCACAGACATAGAAAACAAACTGATGGTTACCAAAGGGGAAAGGGGGAGGGGAGGGATAAATTAGGAGTTTGGGATTAGCAGATACAAACTACTATACATAAAATAAACAACAAGGTCCTACTGTACAGCACAGGGAACTATATTCAGTATCTTATAATAAACCACAATGGAAATATATGAATATGAAAAATAATATATATATATATATATATAACTGAATTGCTTTGCTGTACATCAGAAACTAACAGAATATGGTAAATTAACTATACTTCAATAAAAAATAAAAGAAAAAAATTTTAAAAAGAGAAAAAGTAAGCCTGGTATAGCTTTATGGTGATGCTCTGTGACATGTGAGGGGAGTGAGTGTCTTTGCTCCGACACCCCTCACTCCTCGGTGGGGTCGCACGAGTCACGTTGCATCAGGTGCTGAGGGAGCTATCCGAGGGCAGACTAAGCCTGGGCAGCTGGAAACCTCGCAGGTCTCTTTTATGGGGCTGGGAGAACATATGGTTAAACTTTATTTTAGGGTAAAAATTATGGCCTCAGGACAAAATAAAAGTATAAAATTCTAATATTTCCCAATTATTAAGCATTATTTTATTTTATTTTATTTTATTTTATTTTGTTTTGTTTTGTTTTATTTTTACTTTTGGCATTATTTTAATATCAAGTTGATTTCTTAAAACTTATCTATTTAGAGCTGAGTGCTGGGGAAATAACTATAAGCAAGACTCAGCCCTGTCCCTGGGGAGCTTCTGTCTTATCAGGAAGACAGGCACGTTAAGAGGTAGTCATAGGGCAGCATGGAAGCCCCGAGCCTAGGGAGGGGGCTTGGCAGGGAGGGCTTGACAGAGAAGGTGACATCTTTGTTGGGACCTGAAGGATCAGAAATTGGGAGTCTGCAGCCTGTGAGAGTTGATTCCAAAAGATGAGGTGAGCCCGTCAGGTGCTGCTCTCAGGAATTTAAAACCTAAGAGTGAGGTACTTGGCCAAGAAGACTGAAGTAACAGGTGTGTGAAGGCAACAGGAAAGGAGGGGCTGGGCAGCCCTGAGGCTTAGTTCCCTCCTCAGTTATGAGAAGCATGAGTGAGACCCAGGAGCAGATGGAGGAGATGGAGCAAAGCCTGGGAGGAGGAGGGCTGCCGTGAAGGCCTGTGGTCCAAAGAGAAGTTGGCCTTTCTTGTAGTTGCTTGGTTTTGGTTCCTAAGAGGTCTGTTTTTTT